CATACTAGGTCACAAATCAAGTATTAGCAAATTTTAAAAAACTGAAATCATCCTAAGTATCTTTTCAGACCACAGTGGATTAAAACTGGAAATCAATAACGAGCAAAATTCTGGAAACCACTCAAGTGCATGGAAACTGAAAAACTGACTCCTGAATGACCTATGGGTCCAAGAAGAAATTAAACAGGAAATCAAATAATTTCTTGAAACTAATGAAAATAAAGATGCATCATAATAAAACCTTTGGGCTACTGCAAAAGCAGTACTAAGAGGGAAGTTTATTTCTATATACACTTACATCAAAAGAATGGAAAGAGGAGGGTGGTGGGTTAGCTTAGTTGGTTAGAGCACAGCCTTACAACACCAAGGTTATGGGTTCAGATCCCTGTACTGGCCAGCCACCAAAAAAAAAGGAAAGATGTCAAATAAATGACCTAACTCTATGCCTCAAATAACTAGAAAAAGAACAACAATCCAATCCCAAAAGTAGTAGACAGAAATAATCAAACTCAGGGCTGAACTAAATGAAGAAGAGATCTAAAAAACAATACAAAAGATCAATGAAACAAAAAGTTGGTTTTTTGATCAGATAAATCAAATAAACAAACCATTAACTAGGTTCACAAAGAGAGAGAGAGAGAGAGAGAGAGAGAGAGAGAGAGAAGATCCAAATAACAAAAATCAGGAATGAAAAGGGAAACATTACAATCAATACCACAGAAATATGAAGAATCATTAAAAATTATTATTATAACAGTACACCAACAAATATGAAAAGCTGGAGGAAATAGATAAATTTTTGAACACATACAAGTGACCAAGACTGAACCAAGAAGAAATAGAGACCCTAAACAGACCAATAACAAGCAATGCAATTGAAGCAGTAATCAGAAATCTTCCAGCAAAGAAAATCTCACGACTGGATGGCTTTACAGCTGAATTCTACCAAACCTTTAAAGAAGAATTAACACCATTTCTCTACAAACTTTTCCCCAAAATTGAAACAGAAGCCACTCTCCCAAACTCATTCTATGAGGCCAGCATCACCTTGACACCAAAACCAGATAAAGATACAACAAAAAAGAAAATTACATGCAAATATTCTTGATGAACATAGATGCAAAAAACCTCAACAAGCAACCAGTACAGCAACACATCAAAAAAAATTATACACCAGGATCAAGTGGGATTCATTCCAGGGATGCAAGGTTGGTTCAACATATGCAAGTCAATAAGTGTGATATACCACATCAACAAAACCAAGGACAAAAACTATACGATTATCTCAATTGATGAAGAAAAGGCATTCAACAAAATTCAATGTCCTTTCATGATTAAGACTCTCAGCAAATTACATACAGAAGGAAATTACCTCAATACAATAAAAGCCATTTACGACAATCTAATCACCAATATCATCCCTTAAGAACAAGAACAAGACAAGGATGTCCACTCTCACCACTCCTATTTAACATAGTATTGGAAGTACTAGCCAGAGCAATCCTGCAAGAGAAAGAAAGAAAGAGCATCAAGATTGGAGAGGACTAGTAAAACTGTCTGTTTGCTGACGACATGATCTTATATACAGAAAAATCTAAAGATTCTAGCAAAAAGCTCTTAGAGCTGATTAACAAATTCAGTAACACTGCAGAATACAACATCAGTATATAAAAATCAGTAGTGTTTTGGGGCCGGCCCAGTGGCGCACTGGATAGTGCACTGCTTGGGAAGCGCGGCGGCACTCCCGCCCGAGGGTTCAGATCCCACATACAGACCGGTTCCCGCTCACTGGCTGAGCGAGGCGCGGGAGCAACACCGAGGGTTGCGATCCTGTTGC